CTCAAGCATCAGCTATGAGTAAAAACCAGCCATCTTGAGGGCAATATTTTACTTAGACTTTTTTCAGTACGAAAAAAGTTTTGGGATTTTCAGCATCAACTTTAAAGTAAACCCAATTAACAGTTTGTTTAATTAGCTGAGTTGGAAATGTAAATTGGTGACAGTAAAGAGTTTTAAAGCTGACGTTTCGAGCGTTAGGCCTTCGTCAAAGCGATAACCAAGGGCTAATGCTGGAAATGTCAGCTTTAAAACTCTTTTCTGTCGCCAATTTACAATATCAACTCAGTTGATGAAGCCAAATTATCTGGTCATGCCCTCCACCGACGTAATACCACAGTTTCTTTAGATATGTACCACTTTCATCCATCTGAGATTTGTTGGTTGATTAGCTAAGTCTAAATTTTATTTCTATGTATAGATTGTCTGAAGATTTAAGCGTTAATGAAGAAGACTTACAAGCAAGTCATGTTTTAGAGCTTGCTGAGGCAGTCAAAAATCAATCGAGTAAGTAAACGCGGCAAGCCTTTCAAATTCCTATAACAAACGGCCCTCCGCAGCGCTCTTAAGCTACTTTCAAAAATTCTCAAAATCAAAGGATCAAAGGAAAATGGTAATAAAGACCTTCAAAGAAACGCTTGCCATTCTCCTGAAATTGCCGAGAAAGTTACAGTGAATGAATGCCCCCATTTGAATATAAAGATACCTCCTTACACTTCACCAAAGTAAATCCTCATTTAGTAAAGAGACGCGTGTTAAGTTGAAGATTACGGGGTATTTAGAGTAATTCAAGGTGTAAATACGGCATTACATTGCAGTAAGTCTCTCCCCTTTCCCCAACCACCAGTGGATGCCGTCCCAAGTTCAAGATATGGGGAGTTGTGAAATGTTGGGATGTTGGAAAGAAGAGAAAGGTTCTACCGTAGGTTACCACATTTCGATGTCGAATTACATGTGCAACTTTAAGTCGTGCAGCGCAGACTTAGCACAACTTGTTTGTAACAAATTTAAAATTTTTTTCAACAGTGTTAATTGCGGCTCAAAGTTCCAAACTTCGGCAAAAATCGTGCAAACACGTCCACTAAGTTCGCATGCTCTCACTTTAAATGAATCGTTCGTTGTGGAAAGTAATTTCAACTTATCAAACCCCTCATCTACCTCGGCTAGTTATTTCAGTGTGGGAAAGATTCTATAGCCGCCATTCTTCCTGTCTCTTTCGAGGAAAGTTTTAATTACGAACGTCCCCTGACTTCCAAACAAGTAAAAAACATCCCATTCCTCTTGTTGCATGTTTGGTTTTAAAATAGTGACTTAATTATACTCTGCCATGTAACCGAATTACCAAAAACACGAAACCACGCTAACCTGAACGACTCAAAATAGTTCAATGTACCCACAGTAAGTTTTGAGCAGTTGTAGTCAACCCGTTTTGAGCAACACGATCAGCAAAATTAAAGATTTATTAACCATTGGCGTGAATTGCGATTAAATGATTTCTTGTGTCGCTGGACAAATGTATTTATCCCCCAGCAAAGTGTTTTCTACTGTAATTAAAGAAAAATGCACTCTGTTTCTGCATAAAAAGCGACAAAGAACATCCTTGAAAATCCTTTATTACTAATTTAGTGTTGTGTTTTGCGTGTCACAACAGAAAGGCCTACCTAAATCTTGCAGCAGAAATCAGCCGTGTCGACAGCGATAAACTTAACAAGTACAGATCTCGGCCTGAAAATCGTTATAAAACGGAAAACATCTTCAGATTCTTTAAAAATAACTCGTGGCGGCAACGCCTATACGGCCGTGTGCAATGGAGCTATCCGCTGACAATTTTGGTGAGATAGCCCTGCAAGTTGTGAGAATGTCGTCCCGATTTTGTTTAGATAATTTATGACATAACTAAGACACAACCTGCGATCTGATTTGTCAAAAATCTATGTATATTTGCCTGTATTCCCATAGAAAACTGAAGCATCTTCCTGTCTTGTGAAATGGCGCCACACGGGGCAAATTCCCAGATTGTAATTTTGTAAAGGCCTTTGATTTGGAGGAAGTGAAGAAGACATTTTGAACTCCAAAAAACAGCGACAAAGATTTTGTTTTTCGAACATTGCTATTTAAAATTCAGTTTAACTTACCGGTTGCTACGTTTTAAGCCTATTTTCTGTCGCTGCATGGTTAAAGGGAAAGAATTTCTAAAATTCTTGACTAGAATTCGCCACGCTGCTCCCAGAGAAGAAAAAGTTGGTGTGTTTCAACTTCAAGAAAATTGTATCGTCAAAATAACTGAATTTTCAGTTAGATATTTACTGAAAATTTTATTTACCGATGGGAACAAAAAGGACTCACAAAGTGAATATGTACTTAAGATTAACTATAATTCCGCTTGATAGATTTTTCCAAGTTTAAGCATTTTAAGCACTTTTTGTGAATTTTAAGGAGGACTCCATGAAAGCTTTAGTTCAAGCTGGGGCAATAAAAACAAATATGGTGGAAGGAAAAAAGTGTACTTTTTTCCAGTTGATATAAAAGATTTGATTGTGTAGATTTGGTACCATCCCTGATCAAACTAGGGTTTGATAGCTACCGAAGCATAGTCTTAAAAACACTCAGGCTATCGAAAAAGGTGCTCGGTAACTAGGATCAAGCTACTACCTGTTAAAATATGAGAAGTTGTTACTCACATTTACGACTTAGTTTATACTTTAACATCATCCAAGAACTAATCAAGATTACATTTATTCATGCGTTTCGTTTCAAACCTTTTTGTGGAATATAACTGGGCTTTTTTCTGGTATATTCCACCTAACCTTAGCCCTTAGTCTAGTTGTTGCTACCCATGCAAATCTGATCCATAAAAATGGAACTTCTCTTTGTTACAGATTACAAAGTGAATTATAACCGAGAAGCAGTGACCTCTCCTCCCGACGAAATAACGAATGTTGCATCGCGCCTCCAAGAAGGAACTGCTACAGGTACTTCCACCACTGATTTTGCTACTGCTGCTCCAGCTGTTCTTTTACATGGGAGACTATCATCTTTTGAAATAAGTTATCGGTTTGTTGAAAACTGAGAGAACCCTCAAACTCATTAATTACTTGTTACTCGAAATCTTCCGTTATCACAACATTGAAGTGTTTTTATCCCTCGAGGATACCTATCCCCCTTAAAGGGCCACGCTCAACCAGCGTGCTTTGCGCGCTATTTTCATATTTATTATCTGGGTACTCGATACTTCTTCTCACAAACTGAAGGGAAACGGCAAAGAATACCACAACAAACAAAATAGAAAGAGGGCATTATCACCCAGAGTACAACTTAATCGCTTCTTTAGAAGAGGTATATTGACGACGTGTTCTGTTGTGGAACAGAACCAAAGACAAATTAAGGGAATTTGTAAGACGGGTGAGCAGCTACATTCTGTACTTCAAATGTACCACGATGCAATCACCATTCACGGTTGAAATATCATACTTAGATATTATATTCTTGGACAAAAAAGTGTAAGAAAACTGAAGGCTTAACAGGAAATCGACCCTTGACGTCTACGCATTACATAGAGACGAAGACCTTCGAACACTTAAGTCTTTATTCGTGTCTTTCACCAGGCGCAAAGAAAGGATTCCTAAAACGAGAAGCTTTACGCCTTCTATGAATAATTTCGTCAAGCTCCACGTTTAATAAGAACTCGCAGTGTTTCAAAATACGCTTAAAGAATATAAGATATCAAGATGAAATTAAGGAGAAATGTATCTCTGAATTTGATCTCACCGGAGGTGAAAAGTCACTCAAACACTTTCACGGGATTAGGCTTGAGATCAATTGTGAATGTTTCCCCGTTCGACGGTCATCCAAATGCCAAGAGGAGGTTTCTATTTGACTTTCCTCCAAAATGCTGTGAAGCAGGATTTTTGTAGACTTGCTCCTCATTTTCTTTCCATATCCCATGCCTTTCGCTCATTCTATTGAAGAAACCAAATGAGGGTATCAAAGCCAGTTCTCGATCAACATTGCAAAGATTTTATTCGAATAATATTGCTCACACGGCGGCTTTCCCTTTCTCTAACACAGAAAATACTGAGAGAGGCCACTGTCCCGAAATGAATCCTGGTTGAGTGTGGCCCGTCATTTTTTATTTTATTTTTTCTTTTCCATCAGCCATTGTAACGAGTTACTCAACAAGGAGCGATGACACTCCACAACCTTTTGAAGGAAGTGTGGACTTTCACAAGAATTCATTGAAAGGTGAGAAAAACTGACTTCTTCTTCTTTAGCTCCTTTGGTGCTAACACATTTCGTCTTCTTTGTCATGCGAATGGGGCATAAATGCTTGAGGCATTTGTTTTGGTGACAAAAGTAAGGTCCAAGTAGTAGGAAAAGGGGGTTTCTGGCACATTTTTTAAAATTGCCTGAAAAACAGGGCATTTTTGAAAAATGATTTTTTTCATTTTTTATCTCATTTAAAAATGAAAGACGATGATTTCAAGGCAAAATGATTGGCACATTTTTTTTTTCAAAAATCAAAGCAAAATTGAAGAATTTTGAGATTTGATTCAGTGGGTTTCTGGTACATTTTTTAAAATTGCCTGAAAAACAGGGCAGTTTTGAAAAATTATTTTTTTTAAATTTTTTCTCATTTAAGAAAAAAACGACGATGTTTTTGAGGCAAATTGATTGATGCAGTTTCTTTCAAAAATTAAAGAAAAATTGAAGAATTTTGAGATTTGATTCAGTAGTAGGAAAAGGGGATTTCTGGCACAATTACCTGAAAAACAGGGCAGTTTTGAAAAAAATTCAGTTGCCTAAAAACCAAGGCAGTTTAATCGTGTTTTGAAGGACATTTTGAAAAATGATTTTAATTTTTTTATCTCATTTTAAAATGAAAGACGATGATTCCAAGGCAAAATGATTGGCGCATTTTTTTCTTTCAAAAATCAGAGCAAAATTGAAGAATTTTGAGATTTGATTCACAAAACAATCTCAAAGTGCGTTAGAACCATCAGAAAAAACTAGTGACAATATCTCAGAAAAAACTCATGATCGCGTTATTAATATGTCACACTTTCAAGCTCTCTGTTGGCGATGTTGAGCTGAGCATCAGAGAGAATGAAGATGTGACATTTAACATTTCCTGAACCCGATCCTTTCCTGTTAATTGCAAGATGAACTCCATACTTTGTATTCACCAATCTCAATCCTGAACCATGAAGATCATTGTCTCTCATACTTTTAAGATCGATAAAGAGACCGATCCTCTCTCCAGCATAAAAGTCTGTTGCATTCATCGCGCTGTTCTCCTTCCCAAATCTTCTAAAGACGTCTTCCCACATATCTCTCTCCTGCATTCCTTGGCTGTAAATCTTATTTGGAATACCATCAACAGTCAGCTTAACATCAGTGATGTTGGGATTAAACGTCTTTTCACTATTTACTGTTCCTGCTGTGTATGTCTCATGAAAGAGAAGAAGAAGCCCCTTCATAGATCTCCTTGGAACATTGATGCTTTCATTGATGATTGTGTCGGAACCTTTATCTATTGAGATTGTCTAGAGATGAGTGATATGCTCGTACATGAATCTCTTTCCATTTTTATAGTTAGAAAGGGCTTCATCAGCGAGTTTTTGGCTGTGAATGACTTCATACTCAAGCTGGATGTCAGTCAATTTATAATAAAGTTTTGTTGGCTCGGATCCCTTCACAACACTACCAGCAGGTGCAAGCCTGAGCTCGAAGAGAAGCTCATCAGAAAGAGCTCTCGGAAAAAAGGCTCCATGATCTTTCAAAATATCATGATCCAATGGAATCCTGTATATGTTTCTATACACTTCATTGAGCTTATTTTCTTTATCAACGCCCGAAGTCTTCTTATCTCCAGCGCTGCATCTGATTTTCGAAAGATCTTCAGACTGAATACCTTCTCTGAACATGTTTGCCCTCTCATTCTCAGTCAAGAAGAGGTCCTCCCAAAGCTTGAATAAATCATAACCATCAGTGTCTTGCACAATTTCTCCTGCAAACTTCAAAGTCAGTCGATCGACAAGAGCTCTTGCTACATTGTNTCAAGGGATAGTTGAGCGATTTAATCGAACTTTGGGTGAGCGCCTTTTTAGTTTCCAATACGGCCAAGAGATGAACTTCAAAGACAGAACGAGATCAACAGAATGGGTGAAGAGGCTTCCAGAAGTTGTTTCAGCATTAAATCGTGAGGAGACAAGATTGACTGGAAAGAAACCAATTGACGCAATCAAAGAAAAGGTGGTTGACGCAAAGAGTTCAACTTCTTATTCAAGACCTGTTGGCTTGAAAGAAAAGAGACTTGACTATTCAAAAAACGTGAGATATCTCTATGCTCCCGGCGAGTTAGAAGGTGGACAAAGAAGAGCAACAGATCCAATCTGGTCTCTAAAAGTTTTCCATATCGAAAAAGCACTTGTGAATGAAAAAGAACCTGTTCTTTACTATCTAAAAGATGGACCAAACCGAGGATTTGTCAGAGAAGAGCTTCAGATTGTTCCACCTAAAACTGAGCTACCTCCTGAAGGAATTCGACGAAGAGAATGCTTCATAAGCCTCTATGTGTTTCTTTTGGGATTATTTCTGAGATATTGTCATTAGTTTTTTCTGATGGTTCAAATGCATTTTCAGATTGTCTTGAGAATCAAATCTCAAAATTCTTCAATTTTGCTTTGATTTTTGAAAGAAAAAAATGCGTCAATCATTTTGCCATAAAATCATCGTCTTTCATTTTTAAATGAGATAAAAAATTTAAAAAAAATCATTTTTTAAGAATGTCCTTAAAAACACGATTAAACTGCCTTGTTTCTGAGGCAACTGAATTTTTTTCAAGACTGCCCTGTTTTTTCAGGTAATTGTGCCAGAAATCCCCTTTTCCTACTACTGAATCAAATCTCAAAATTCTTCAATTTTTCTTTAATTTTTGAAAGAAACTGCGTCAATCATTTTGCCTTAAAAACATGGTTTTTTTTAAATGAGATAAAAAATTAAAAAAATCATTTTTCAAAACTGCTTTGTTTTCAGGTAATTTTAAAAAATGTGCCAGAAACCCACTGAATCAAATCTCAAAATTCTTCAATTTTGCTTTGATTTTGAAAAAACAAAATGCGCCAATCATTTTGCCTTGAAATCATCGTCTTTCATTTTTAAATAAGATAAAAAATGAAAAAAATCATTTTTCAAAATTGCCCTGTTTTTCAGGCAATTTTAAAAAATGTGCCTGAAACCCCCTTTTCCTACTACTGTCCATATCCTTGAACTCCAATCCCTACCCTCGTAATATGGAGGAATTTTTTCTCTTGAACTCGTTAAAGTGATGCCAATTTGAATTTCGTATTAATAATGCCATAATCCTCTATCTCGGTAGAAATGTTATTCTCAATGTTCAGAAACATCCATGTCTGTTATTGAGCCATGATGCCGCTCAATAGTGACTGTCGCTCCAAATTTGCAATTAAAAAGGATGTAATGCTTACCTTTGATGATAGTTGCAATTTTATTTATTGTGGATTCTTTTCTCGGTTGGTTGATGGAAAGTATCCTTTTTTTGTTCCATGAAGACGTAAAAGGCAAATCAGTGGTGTCCTCACGGAAATACACTGCATCGTCATACAATAACATGCGTCTCGTACCAAGTCAGCTGGGTGACCTAAATCAGGCAAAAGATTGTCACGAGCGTGCCCTAGAACCTCAGCAAGATGATTTGGCAACGTCATACCTGGGTCTTGAACTCCATCAGCTGGGTGCCCTAAACCAGGCAGAAGATTGTCACCAGCGTGCCCTAGATATTTCGTTGAAAGAGCTAGGACCTCAATATATTGATGTCGCAACAACATATGATACCCTGGGTTTTGTATACCGTCAGCTGGATGACCTAAAGCAGGCAGAAGATTATCACAAGCGTGCCCTAGATATTCGGTTGAAAGAGCTAGGACCTCAACATATTGATGTCGCAACGTCATATGATAACCTGGGTCTTGTACACCGTCAGCTGGGTGACCTAAAGCAGGCAGAAGATTATCACAAGCGTGCCCTAGATATTCGGTTGAAAGAGCTAGGACCTCAGCATATTGATGTCGCAACGTCATATGATAACCTGGGTCTTGTACACCGTCAGCTGGGTGACCTAAAGCAGGCAGAAGATTATCACAAGCGTGCCCTAGATATTCGGTTGAAAGAGCTAGGACCTCAGCATATTGATGTCGCAACGTCATATGATAACCTGGGTCTTGTACACCGTCAGCTGGGTGACCTAAAGCAGGCAGAAGATNGTGGCTCTGATTTCAGGTTGAAAAAGATTTGTGATTGCCAGAAGGAAATTGAAAATGAGATTTCACATCACCAGAAAGTCGCAAAAAAATACAAGAGAGTAAAAGCTGTGTGCCGCATAACATCGTCAGTCACATCCATCACGGCAGCTCTTTTGTCGATAGGTGGTTTCGCAGGTGCTTTGAGCGGTGTGGGAATTATAATTTCTGTGCCTTTGACAAGCATTGCGGGCTTGCTTGCTTTCGCGTCTGCCACGACGACGCTCGCAAACAAATCTCTCGTGAAAAAGACTGAAAAACATGAAAAAACCGTCTCTCTCGCTGAAGCAAAGCAACGAACAATCAGCAGACTCGTGTCAAAGGCCTTGAAAGACTCTTCAATAACAGATGCCGAATTCGCCTCGATACTGAGCGAAATTGATCAATATTATTCTCTGAAAAAAGAACTCAGAAAAAATAATTCACGAAATTCTCCAGAAGAAGTTGAGGAAGAGACTGCAACTCTCAGAGAGGAAATAAAAAAAGAATACCAAAAAATTTGGGCTCTCTGCTTACACTCGCAAAGAATTGAGAATTGAATTTGACAAAAGAGCGAGTGGGTTTTCTTTGTTTATTTCAAGACAAAATCATGAATTAAAACTTGGTTTCTTCTGCTGTTTCTGGTTTGAAATGATATTTTTTCTTCCGCGACAAGGATGTAAACATGAAAAAATTTGTCTGATGCATCAGACAAATTTTCATTGGTGGATGATTTCCATAACAACCCTGTCGTCTTTGCGTGGTATTTTGAAAAAACAGACAGGTGAATTTAAATTATTCAAATTCGCCATCTTTCATCATGTCAAATTTCTCTCACAAATAAGTTTTTCTGGTCTGATCTTCTTTTGATGAAATTTCTTTGATTATCCAGTGCATATTTAATACCAGAAGAATTCGAAATTCCACAATCTTTGGCGGCTTCTCCGAGTGATTGATATTCTTTGCGAAAACCCGTTTCATCACTCACTTCAACCTTCCTTTTGTTTTTCAAAGGACAGTAGCCGAGCATTTCTTTCAATTCTTTGCTTGGAATCTTGTTTCTGTATTTTATTCCACAGGCTTTGGCAATTTCTCTGAAATCTTTTATGCTTATTGGAATCAAATTTTTCTTTTCTTCCATTTTTTATATTTTTTTGAAATATTTTTTATATTATACAAAAATGTCAGGAAGTCGAGAAGCGAAGCGAGAAGAATTAGAAATGAATGAAGCAGACAAAGAATCCCGCTTTTTCTGTAAATTTCGAGATCCAGCAGGAAAAATAAAAACACAAACAGTGAGATTATTAAAACCATTGAAATGGACTCTTGATGATTATGATCTTCTTAGCGACGAAGAAAAGAGAGAAGTTGATAGAAGACTCAGAAAAAGCAAAAATTTTCTCGTTCAAAGGCGCCTTGAAGCCAAATATCTTGAACCGAAAAAGGAATATCAAAAATGGTTGAGAGACGAGCGTGAAAAGATAACAGGCCATCAATTCACTATGATGTACATAGATTTTGATCTCATTCACAAGATAAAAAATAAATTTTGGAAAAATAGAATAGAAGAAGATAGATTAAGACTGAAGAAAACTTATCGCTTTCCAAAAGATATTGATGAAGACCTCTTTCTGCTTTTGACAGATGAAGAAATAAAAGATCACTGCGAAGGCG